AACAGCAGGTAACTCTGTCTCCCTAAGAGCCAGGTCAACAGTGGGTACCTCTGTCTCCCTGGAGCCAGGCCAATAGTGAGCGCTTCTGTCCTCCTGGAGCCAGGTCAACAGAGGGCACCACTGTTCCCCCTGAATCAGGCCAACAGTGGGCTCCTCTGTTCACCCTCAAGCCAGGCCAACAGTGGGCAACTCTATCCCCCCAAGAGCCAGGTCAATTGCAGTCACCTCTGTCCCTTGGGAGCCAGGCCAACAATGGGAGCCTCTGACCCTCCAGACCCAGGTCAACAATGGACACCTCTGTCCCCCACCAACCAGGTCAATGGCAGGCACTTCTATTGACCCCAAACCAGCCCAACCGGGTGCCTCTTTCCCCAACCCTCTGAGTCAGGCCAACAACAGACACCCCTGTTCCTCCAAGCCAGGCCAATGGCAGGCACCTCAGAACACCTCTACTTGCTCCATGCAGATCCTGAAAATAGTCATAGGGAAGCCAAGAGTCAACCAGCCTCAGTTATGAGAGCCACAGTGACTCTTATAAAAGGCCTTGGCTGCCCCGGCGCTATAGGTACAAGGGAAGAAGGCTCTGCTCCCTTTGTATTTAGAAACACATTCCTTTAAAAACAGATACTTTTTTTTCCTCACATTTTTCCACTCAGAAGGCATCGTGGGACAATCTTGAGCCCTGCATGATGGGATGCCACCCCCCGAGAAAACAGGAGAGGTGACTTCCAAATCGGCAGGGTGCAGAAGAGCATCAGAGGGGCCCTTCCCCCAAGGTCACACATCCACAGTTCTCACCCGAAGACCCCACTCCCTGTCCTCCTTGTGTCTGGGCCTTGGTTCCCCTCTCTGAACAGTTTCTCTCAGGCCCACAGCTCCATGGCTCCGAACACAGGCCTTGCCACAGATGGGCTCTGTCTTAGGGTTGGTGGGGAGCCACCAGCCTGGCGGCTCTATAACCCCTCAGAAAGAACAACCAACACCAATAGAAATCTTCAGCGTGTGAGGAATGTTAAGCTCTGAAGCCTTCTGAATTTAGTGAAATGCAGTAATCAGAGAAAACAAACTGTCTTGGGGCCATCAGAGAAGAAAAATATATACTTTCTGAATTAATAATTGTATATTACAAAAAGACCAAGTTGAGAGTTAAATATAATACAAAAATGTATGCAAGTGAATGTGCTCTTCAGATATAATGTAAAACATAAAAATAACTTATACTATACCTATATAATCACTGTTATATTCTAAAACAGTATATTTATGTAATTTTTATGTTCAAAGCAAAACATTCCTTATTCTCTACTGATAGACTTTATATGAATCAGCCTAAAAGCTTCCTCTTCTGGATGCTTAAACAATGAATTCCACCAATTTTACATTTATCCATAAGATTAACACTACAGGCTAGCTTACCTCCTTCTGAGTGCAACGTATGAAGTAGCAGAAACTGCAGAAACCCAGCAAACATAACAGCAGCATCGGAATGGTTGAGTAAGTGCTGCAGGGTCAGACCACTAAGTTCCAGCCAGCAATGGCAGCAAATCCACAACAGGAATGTAAAAATCCACCAAAACGCAAAATTTTAAATAGAATTCCCTGTGGTCCTTGCATTCTAACTCAAAACCAAACGGAAGCCTGCAGCATCCAACATTACCCAGCAGTGAAACTAAACTAGCCCGTAAGTGCTGCTGTCGTCAGAACAGCCCTCTGCAGTGCACAGATTCTCAGATCACTGTATCGGTTCTCGGCCCTTGCCATCCTATGGCAGGTCCCAAGGTGGCCAGTGCCAGTGCTGTCTGTGCCAGCTCCATAGTTAACCCTTTCCTAAAACAATGCACAGAAGTTGCTACCTCCCACAGCAGAGGCCAAGTGCCTGTGGTCCCTGGAAGCTGACACAGGAGGGACAGCTCTGGCTTGTGCTGGGTTCCTCCTGATCCCCCAGTGACATGCCACTGTGCTGGCTACAGCCCACATGCCCACAGAAAACTCAGCTGAGAGGATGTGGTCCCATCATCCATCCTGGCAGGAGCCCTGCCAAGCCTATGTGATGGATCCCGTCCTCTGGGAGTTCCCTCACGAGAATCCCACTCACTCCACTGCAAGAACCCACAAGGAGTCACAGACAGAGGACATGCGTGGCTGTTGAGACCCAACAAGAATGCTTCCACAGGGTGTTCAGGACAGCCAGCCTTCTGCAAAGGTGGCCCGTCTCCAAGGGGCAAATGGACAGCCTGGACAGGAATTGCCAGGGATCTGGGGGTTGGGGCTCAGATTTCTGAAAATTTTAAAGACACACTTCTCGGTGATTATAGTGCATAACTCATAGGACTATAGCTCTTTCTCACTGAGATGCAGAAAAACTGTCCTCTCATCAAGTTACCCACATTTACTTCACAAACCCTATATTTTGTATGACAGAACAAGGGCAAGAGTAACAACAAAATTAGCTGGTCTGAAATTAGGTTCCTCCCTCAATTACGTTTTGAGCTTGGCATGCCCCTCACTTCCCGAGGCAGCAAGGAGCAACACACACCTCTTCAATCCTCAAGGGACCCTCCACTGAAGACAGAGGCAGACAGCTTCCAGTTTGTTTTAGAAGACAAAATGGTCAAGTGGTAACAGAGGGAGAGTTAGGAACATCTTCCATTTATTTTAAACAAATGCACTGTGTTTACTTAAATCATATGTACCTGTCAAAAATAATTATCTCATAAGAAAAAATGACACGGAACCATGGATTGTCTCATCATCGCCAAAATGCAAAACATTCACCTCAAACAAAATGACCCATTTGAACATTTTTTCCCTCTTAAAAGAACATATTTTTGGTCTCCACTGAGAATCTGTATTTTTTCTTTTCCCAACTTCCAAGTAAGATTACAACTGATTTCAGTCAAAAATTGATCAAATTGTTGCTGAGAAAAACAAAAGGGAAATAAACATTAACTGACCGCTTATGTGTCAAATATACTAGGTCTATTAATTTATGTAATCCATTTATTTGTCATAGGCATATGGCAAAATCAATATTATTTATCCCATATTACAGATGAGGCTCAAGAAAGCTAATTAACTTACCCAAGTTCACATAATATAAATAGCAGAGATGAGATTTGAACTTGGCTTTGTCTGGTTAGAAAATCCATGCATGAGGTTTTCACTACACCTTGGCAGTTAGGAGTTATTCCAGTTATCTTGGTGGATTACCTGAAAGCTATGCCAGTGTTTGTTAAAATGCTAGAGACTTGTTGATGTGGAAAGCCGTGGTGGTGTGGTCTATACTCTAGTCATATACTTCTGTTTCCCATGTTGGAGCCAGTGAGGGTTTTCTAGAGCTGACAGTGGGGCTGACAGCTTGTCCCTGCTGGACCCACATTTCCTCCTTTATGGCCTAGCCGTAAAGAAGACACACACAGCCCAGTAAAGAGACAATCTACTGGCCCTGCACATACCCAGAGAGGACCGATGGAAGGGGAGTCAAAACTCTCAACCCATTTACTCACTCCCTCAGCTGAAACCAACCACTACCATATCATTTTCTAGAATGATGTAAATAAAGTGACTGGAATTTGAGAGTCTATGGATTGTATAAGTCTATATATTTTCAGGTCAAGTGAAATATAACATTTTAATACACTGCAAGTGGCTATTATAGTGCCTGAATCTTGAGGTTTTTGTTTTTTTTTTAATTTCTCTCTTCCTATTTCTTTGTTTTCTTCTTTAAATCCTGGTATGAGTTTATTTCAAATTATAAAATCATTTTGAATCCTGTTAATATAATATTTATCCTTCGTTCCATCCCATGAATTAATATTGATTTGGTATAATTACCTTGAGTTCCCCCAAAGTGTCTCAATATGAAGAAACAGACCACATAATAACAAGTTGTATTTCTAACAGAAAAATACTTAATAAACCAAGCAGGGCTTAATTAGTAAAGTGGTAGTTGCAGCTTTCAAAATTAGAGAATATAAATAGAGAACCAATATTAGAAGAAGCTAATGTTGACCTTCCTCTAAAACATCCTCTCACTCATTTGTGGGTGCCATGTCCTACGAGATTTCACACCTAGTAACAGATCTTACTCCCTGGATCCTCTGTCCATGTACAAGCAGAAACAAATCCTCCAACTTTCATTTCATCAATTCCACAATGTATGTGAACAGCATTTACTTATTTAAAACATTCCTATAACTCTTCCCTCCTGAGCCACTGTATCCTTCATCTAGATGATACACTCCACAGCCTCATATGCAGCTGTGATTCCACAGATGCAGGAACAACCAGAACAGGGATGTCCTTAAGAGAGAACATGCAAAACCTCCACTTATTGCTATGTTGGAGCCTGCTTTATTTACACAGACCACTTGACCTTGTGGTACTGTGGTCAAGGTCAAGGACTGTGTTTGTGGAAAGGTTTTGGTTCTTTCACAATAACCCAGGAACCATTATTTTGAAAAAAACGACACAAACTTCCTATCTACTGGTGCATCCTGCTTCTTTCAATAAGCATGAGACCATGAAGCAGGAAGTAAGTACACTGACGACAAGAAAACACCCACACACATCTCCGCAACTGGCTGTTGTGTTTTCTCATTTTCATAGGGAGTACCCTGACCACAAGACAACACCCACATACAAACTCAACACCTGGCCAATGTGTTTTTCTTATTTTCACATAACATTGACTTCCTAATCTCAAATCTTTCTTGACTTGGCTATTGCTCAGGAATATAAATTGTAAGTATAAATAATCATTTTATAATCTTTAGGACTGGACTGTGAACCCTACAATCTCATCTCAGAAAAACAGATTAAAGATAAAGGTGATAATCAGAAACTTGGGCCCATTAAGAAAATGGAACAAAATCACTGTGCACCTGACTCACAGAGAGGGGGAACATTTAGATTGGAAGGAGAGATGCAGAGGGAGTGTTAAATATAGACGTGGGCACAACTGGGAGAAAGGCGGCAGGGCCACCATCCTCATCGCTTACCGGCTCCTGCTTGTCGGGCCTCAATGGCTCCCTCCTCAGAACCAGCAGACCTCACTTCTTCCCAAACTTCTGGAGAGACAGGCACGCCGGGCGCACACATGACAGCATCGTGCAGAGAAGTCATGCCCGGGATGCAGAGCCCCGCTGCCCAAGCCCCTCTCTGCTGCCCGGGCTCGCATCTAAGAAGAGTGAAGGGCCCCCGTGATCACTGCCCCAAGCAACGGGAACAGCAGAAGGTGGAAACAGAGGAGACACCGTTTGAGGATGGGGTGATCTCTGTGCCACTGACTCAGGTCGGGCAGCACTGTGCGTCCCCAAGGATGGCTTGGACCAGGCACTGCACTGGCATGGCGGGCCTGGTGGGTGGGCACAGGGCGCTTGTGAGGAGGAGCATATTGGCATCTCTGCTGGGTCTTGACCAGAGCCACAGGACTCAGGAAATGAGTCCTCTGCCAGGTGACACGATGCTCCCAGCCATCCCTTCTGCTTACTAGTCACCCAAACTGCTCCAACTCGTGTCCTTTCTCCTGCTGCGAGCTCCTTTGTGGAGAGGGCTAAATAAAGGATTTTCATGACAGCGAAATGGCCACCAGCCCACAGGATGACTTCCTAAAACATAACTCTTCTGCTTTTGTTCAGGGCTATTAAAATTCATTAAATGGAAGCATTTCTCATTGTCGTATCTTAGATTTGTGAGGAAAAAGTACTTTTTTGTTTCTTTCTGAAGAAACATTTGAAATCAGGCTGTAGTTGTACCTATGATATGTACTTTATATGCTTCAAATATATATATAAAATAATATATATAAACTATTACATAAACTTTTTGAGGTAGGTTCCTTCCTCGTATTTCTGTGATTGCCTGTCTGAGGCAAATACATAAATATATATGTATATAAATGTGTGTGTGTGTGTGTGTGTGTGTGTGTGTGTGTGTGTGTGTTGTCCTGGGTTTTTTCCCTACCATATGTGATATGGTGCAACATTGAGCACATTTCCAGAAGGTGAAAAGTTTTATCTTCTGATAAGTCAGATACAGATTCTTACTTTATTTACAAAAATTACATTTTATATTTTTCTGTACCTTGATGGTAATTTTTCACTAAAACAAGCAGGCACATGTAATTTTAATTTAAGCATATTATTCTGCAGGTAATTACTATTTTTGAATTTTAATACAGAGAATGTTGTAAGTGGCAAACATCACTTTGCATGGGCATACATTCCATACTTCCTAAAGAAGCATATGGAATGAATTTTCAAGATGAATCTGAGAGGTAACAAAGATGGACAGTGTTAAGAAGAGAATCAAGCATGTATAGACCAGGCATGAGGGTATACTAAGACTGGCTTATGCTGGAATTAAATTCCTAAGTCACTAACCTATGGCTTCTACTTCACCAAACTTTCATTTTCAAATTAGAATTCAGTACCAATATAGCAGATAGAAAGTACAGATAAAAACCTATTACAATAAAATGAAAATACTCTTAATGTTGTGATATTAATCACATGCAATACCTTAGAAATTCCTTCTTATTCCGCTACATCCCAGTAATTGCATATGCAAAATAAACCTGACTTTCAAATCACAAATCTCCTACAAGTACACTTCAAAGTAGTAATCAATATGGTATTTATTTTTTAGGTTCCATATGCCACTGGCATATTAAGTTTGTACTGAGGTATTATACAACAAATACATATATGACTTCCTAATTCTTCTCAAGTACTTTGCAAAGTTGAGAAAATCTCTACTCATATATACCTGACTCACTTGTCCTCTGCTGTTCACATCCTTATCTTGTTTTTTAAAAAGTATACTTTCATATAGACAGACATACCAAGCACTTTAAATAATGAGGTTGTCTAGATAATAAACTCTGATGGAATATAAAGCCAGCATATAATTCTTTATGTGGCTACAGAAGGGAAACTATCTGGGTAGAATTAGGACATCCCACAGAACTGACTAACACTATTTGCTCTGAGTCCCTCTGTATTGTATTAATGTGTTGCCACTTAAGAATTAACAGCAACCTGGGCATGGTGACTATGCCTGCAATCCCAACATTTTAGGGGAGGAGGAAGTGAGGTGAGAGGATCACTTGAGACCAAGAGTTCAAGACCAACTTGGGCAACATAGTGAGGCTCCATGTCCTCAAAAATAAAAAATAAAACAAAGAATCCATAGCCAGACAAACTCCATGCAGAAGAGAGTAAATATACCGTCTTTTAGTCTGTACATATATAAACTCCATATTCTCTCAGTAGTTTCAGTGGACTCTACAGCCAATAATAGAATACAAAGGGAGACCCCCCCATCAAAAAAAAAAGAATTATTTTTTTGTAAGGCAGGCCCCTTGCAGGCAGTACAGGCTTCCCCTGCTTGGTAAGTGTTCTAGGAACCCATCAGCATCAGTGGACCAACAAGCATTGTTGTAAGAGGCTATGTCCAGCTTCAGTGAATTATTTCCAGAGATTCCTTCAGTGCATTTGCCCATTTCATGATGGGTGATTTACGAGTGCACCTGCCCACATGGCACTGATTATTCAGCAGTTTTTGAACAAAAAAGGCATAATCCCCATCCCCTACCCTCCCTATTCACCCAATCTCACCCGAGAGACTTTATTTTTGTTTCTCTGGATGCAAAAAGTCTCCAAAGGAAAACATTTTGCTGATGTGAAAGAGGTGTAACAAAAAAATGGCAAAAGCACCAAAAGGCATCAAAACTGAAGAGTTCAAAAACTCTTTCAGCAGTGTAAAAAGCATCTTGGCAAGCGTATTGCATCAGAGAGTACCTTGAGGGTGACTAAAGTTTAAACATGTAAGAATACACAATGTTTTATATATTCCATGTATTTTGAGGTCCCCCCACATATAATATTTATGCAAGGTTATGGCATAAAAGTGAGTTCAGTTGGAGGTACCTCCTCTGAGAGGTCTTCATTGACTAAATCCCAGACACACTGACCTTTCTGCTGTTTTGCTTTTCACTTCAGGCCTTCAAAGGAGAATCCATCCTACACTGAACACCCTTCTGCTCTTCCTTGCAAGTTTCACTGATTCCCCCCCACATACACACATTCATAACTGCTTTCAGCTAACTAAAGTTCTGAGCATTGACTATACTAAGTACTGAAGTAAACAGAAGAAATATCTAGACCAGGTCTGTGCCTTGATGGTCTAAACGCTATTATTATTCCCACACTACAGGTGGGGAAACTGAGGCTTAGGTATGATAAGCGTCATATCAAACCAGTGACAAAGTCAGAATTTGAATTCAACAAGAGCAATGATAATTAAAGCTAACATTGCTTTAGGTCACCACTTCCTTAAATTTAGGGACTTCACTTAGTATCTAGTACAAGGCCGTGATCTTGGTGGTTCATGACTGAGGCAAATAAATCTGTACTAAGGAAAACACATAGTACATGATTGGCTTAGGTCCTTCATGAGACCCTAGGATAGGTTTGTCATACTGTGACCGCAGAACACCACCATATGGAAATGTCAGCGGATAGTTTAGGATGAAAGGGCCCCTAGTCAAGTATGTTCAGGACACACTGCACATTCTGTTCTTTTCTAGAACAGTAACAACGCACATTACCACTGAAGGCTGGCGAGAAGTCCTGCACTGAGAACACTTTCAGCCAAACGAATTTGAGCATAAACATTTATTTTTGACAACTGCAGAGGTACTAGTTGGAAAAATGCTTGCATTCTTAATCCCGTTTAAGCTGACTTGTTCAGATATCCTAAGGGACAAGCAAGGCAGAGAAGTATTTGGGTTCTCATGCATGGATCTAGAGTTGGCTCAAGTATTCGGGTTCTCATGCATGGATCTAGGTCCTGACGTCAACTCTAGATCCATGCACGAGAACCCGAATACTTCTCTGCATAGTCTGCTCCTCTGCGTAGTCTGTGTAGTAACAGGCGCTGCTCTATGCCCTGCTGTCAGCGGGGTACCTGGGATCCTGTTGGCACGAAGCCTCAGCTCAGCTATGCTCCCTGACCTTGATGGAAAAGCTCCTGTCCCAAGGGTCTCCCCTTACTCAACCCAGTCACACTGAAGCAGCTCTCCTAAAATTTCTGTTGCTTCCATAAAAGAAATGAACATAAAACAAAACTAACAGAGTCCATCTGGCCTGGTCTAGTATAATGTCATTGTAGACATCAGAATGAATCAATAGTCAAAACACAACTCTATGGAGTAACAATATTATGAAAGAAGGTGATGATCATTTTAAAGACATAAGGATGAGTAAATACTTGGGGAGTTAGTAAATATAGTTCAATTTTTCTTCCAAGATTGAGAGCTCCTTTCATACTTGCAGCTTCCTGAGTCAAAAGGTTTCCCTTTCTCTTGGATATGTGTTTTAGGGTTCCCACAAGGGTAGTTAGGACACTAGAAGTAATGCTAGTTATAAAATATCTAGCTGGAAAAGTCTAAAACATTTAAAAAAATGTACAAAAAAACCCATAAAATTTCAAATTATTCATGCTATCAAGGAGCTCTGGATCCCAAGTCACTTTGGAATGCAAATGAAGTTACAGGCATGGAAATTACTGTTTTCAAGATATACTGATGATACCATCTGCACTATACATGGATATGTTCAACTATACATGAATGCTTCCGTTCCTTGTTTCATAAAGTGTCAGAGGACCAGCATACTTTAAAGAGATTTGCAAGGAGAAAGGGTTCGCACAAGTTGCTTCTTAGTCAGTTGTCTTCTCATCTAGGGAACCCTAAAACTTTCAGACTCTGACCAACTTCATGGGAAAACTAAGGTAATTACTGGGGTCCGAATAACAAACATGTAAGAGTGTCAAACAGTGATAGGATATGACCCAGGGTTGAATAAAGAAACTTTCAGATAAAATATTTTTAGGAGATTAGGGGGAAGGATGTCTGAGTAGGAAAGGAATATCAAGAGAGAAAAGGGGGCAATGCCCTGGGGTCCGCTCCCACTGTGGGAGCTTTTCTGTCTTCTCAATAAATCCTGCTTTCCGAGAAAGAGAGAGAGAGAGAGAGAGAGAGAGAGAAAAGGTAAGTTTGCACACTCTTTTAAATTTATAAACCTGACTCCCCTGCC